TACCCAACGACTCAAATTCCACTTTCGAGCTAAACACGTTGGCGTATCCAAGACTTTAAATCGTTAATCCGTCCTAGTTAAATCTGGCGCACCCAGCCGTACCAACTTCTCTTTTTCTAAACCAACCAAGACCATGCATATCTCCCCCATAAAATATTTCATCCCCCATTTTGGCACGCAATGACCCGCGTCTGTTTTTCTGTGTTATTTACGCAACAGCGCTCGATAAGACGTCCGACTCGTCTATTTTCCTTCCTCAACCCTTTGGCGACTCGCATATGGTTCTACATGGCCGGGGCGTACGTCCTGGTATCAATAACGATCTGGATAGTCGCCGGATTCTCTCCTCGCGAATGGAGAGAGCCGCAGCCCTGCGACGACTGCCTCCTCCTCGAAAAACACCCTTCCGTCTTGAGCTCGTCGGGAATCGGCAGCGATCAAGCCGGAGACGATTTACTTTCTCCTCCTCCTTCTCCTCCCTCCGACAACGACAACGTTATTGACGGAGTAATCGAATCCGTTAATGATGCGTGCCGGAGTCACGAACACCCCGCAGGAAGAACATTAGAAATACTAGAGAACGGATTCACCGTCGGCAACAGCTTCTGGTTCGCCATCGGCAGTTTGATGCAGCAAGGATCGGATCTCAACCCGAAGGTGGATGGGGGTTGGGGAGGCATGACGTCGGCTAGGTGGAGAGGGGCGGCGGCTGGAGAGCGTGTATGGTAATTTGTGGGGGCGGGGATGTTGATGATACGGTAACATATGTATGTGCATAATTGCTGTTGTGACTACTCGTCTTGATTTGTAGCTCGCGTAACTAAAAAATTAATGTGGAAGCTTCAGGGCGCTGCTGTCACCGGTTCTGGAACAAGCCCACTTTTCACAACAACCCCTTATTCAGAAAGCACCTTGTTTGTGCCACTCAGCCGTGGAAACCCTCTTCCCGCTTTCCTCACGTAACAAAAAGTTTCATGTTCTGCACAAACAATCAAACTATCGGCTGTTGACAATTCGAGATAGTCACGTTCGAAATGCAGCAGCGATTGTGCACATCCTGAGCGCCTGCAAGCCCCCGGTAAATTTAATACCGCGATAATCTCGATTTATACCGCAAACACAACGTTATTGGGTCCTTTGAAACAAAGTAACAGAGCGCCCTGATCCAGCCGTCGCGTGGTGGGACGAAATCTGAAACATGTGGGCAAAATTTTGACAATCGTGTTAAAAATGCTATAAAATCGATTCAATTGAAGCGATTAATTTTAAAATACATAGTTCGAATAAAGCCACTTCTAATTTTTTTTTTTGGATATGTTTGAAATTTTGATTACGATTTCTCGCTATTTAAAAAATCCATGAAAAAAACACTTTTAACACTATTTTGAAAAATGTTACTAAATTAGATTCTCATTTTTCTTCGTTCTTGAAAAAAATTTACTCTTCGAAATCTGCAAGTAACTCTCTAGATGATTCCTGTTTTTTTAGTTTAAATAACCCCACTTTTCGGTACTTTTTTGAAGTTTTCTTAAAATTTTGGTTTTCATTTTGTTTTCGCTGTCTGAAAGGTAATCGAAAAAGATTTCAGATTCGTAACCTATGATAATAAAGAGAATCCTCTAGATTCTCTAAAATTACTCTGGTAAATAAAGTCTTTCTTAGTTTTTTGTGAAAATTTAAAAATTTTTGATTGCCATTTTTTGCTGTTTGAAAAGATAATAGTGAAAAACGGGTCTTCGGATACATCATAAACGGCGAAATCTCTATTTGGCGCTACCTCATTTTTTTGGAAATTTTTTATAAAATAGATTCTCATTTTTTTTTAATTTTGAAGTCCTGTTGGAAAAAAAAAATCGAAATATGCAGGTAATTTCTAGATGGTCCGAACCTTTTCCGTTTAAATAAAGCCACTTTTCCATACTTTTTTGAGCATTATTTCAAATTTTTGTTTCCAATTTGTTTTATCTGTTTGAGTAGTAATAGAAATAGATTTCAGATTCGGAACCTACGGCGAAATTTTTGTATGACAATAGAGAGAAATCTCTACCCTTAATTTTTTTAAAGTTTTTGAAATTTTGATTGCCATTTTTTAAGTCCCTATTTCGCAGAATCTTATTTCACTGAGATATAGTAAGTTTTAACACTTGTTTTGGAAACTATTTGTAAATTAAATTCCCATTTTTCTTCGATGTTTGAAGGGCTGTGTTAAAATTTGTTAAAATTTAAAAAAATAATATCCTACTTTTAAAAACAACATTATTTTCACTAACGTAGAACGAACATACATTGTTTAAACAGGATGCAAATATATACAATACAGTTTATTTTTTAAATTCGATACTATTTTGCCAACTTGTTCCAAGTTTTTTGAAATTTTTTAGCAAAGAATTTGTCAAAAAAAATCACAATATACTAATTTTGAAAAGATAATAAGCAGAGGAGGTATTGTAATCGAGTCCGTCGGCCGACTCTCTACTTTTACGTTGTCTCGACCTTTCATGACCCCTAGAGTACGAAGAAATAGCTCTCCCATTTCCGTCTGTCTGCCGTCCGGGATTTTTATTAGGCAGATAATCTCCGAAAGTACTGGGCCGATTGTTGTCAAATTTTGTATTTATATTAGGGATATCATGTAGATGGTAAAACACTAACCAAAATTTATCTAATCATCCTCACCAATAATGTGATGACGTCAAAATCGTACATAGTAAATGGGTTTTAAAACGTATAAAATAACATAGTCCTACACATGTAGTTTATGACTCCGTTTTGAGATTTTACCCAAAATATGAATATTTTTGGAAAAAAAATCAAAAATATAAAACAACATATTGCAATTTAATTTTGAATAAAAAACCGAATGCTTTGAAATCTTGCAGTTAGTTTACAGTTATGATAAGCATAATAAATTTTTAATCAAAATATATTTACTTGTCCCTTCCAAAAAATTGATGAGTTCAGTTCAAAATTTTGCCGAATAAATTCTACCCAAAATGTGCACAGTACGATGAGGAGTTTTTATTTGTGATTTATCATTACATTCATATTTTTTAGATCCCCCCATTTTCTCAGAGGATATGTCATTTAGCAAAGTTAGTCTTATCTTACCAAGGACTAGCCCCACCCACCCGCCCTCTGTTCTCTTAGAGGGTATTCCTTTGCCAAAATAAGTTTTATCTTAGCAAGTACTAGCCCCGCCCACCCACCCACTATTTTTTCAGGGGATTATGTCATTTGCCAAAATCAGTGGGTGGGTGGGGCTAGTCGTTGGTAAAATAAGACTAATTTTGCTAAATGACATATCCTCTGAGAAAATAGGGGGCGGGTGGGCGGGGCTAGTGCTTGTTAAGATAAGACTGATTTTGCCCCTATTAATCTTCTAAAACTTGTTAAATTTAAAAGGTGTTAAATTGCAAATTTCCATAGTAACGAGTTAAATCCTAAATCTAATCGGGTGTTTATTTTTATATTTTTGCTAAGAGTTGCATTGCTAAAAAAATTCAAAAATTGTGGAACAACATGGCATAATTTCAAAAATAAATTATGACTGTAGAGCCTAGGAACGGGCAAAATGAGGATATGTAAAAACATGTACCGGGTGTTTTATTTGAATAAACAAGTTATAGTCGAAAATAAGTTTACTCTATGCTGCTCAAAGAACCCTAAATGCTGATTTTTTTATTTAAAATAATAAAAATAATGAGATATCAAAGACCGCACCCTGTATATAAAAAATCCCTTTATTTTTTCCCATTTTCCTCTATTTTAACCACTGCGTTCTTCGTCCGCCTCTGTGAATTTCGTTGATTTTTCTACCTTGGTTATCGTTCCCGATATTTTTTCTGGGTTCATTTTTTCTATAGGTTCGTATTTCTCTTAATTCTTCGTTTCTGATTTTATTTCTTTATTCCAATTCGTTTATTCTTCTTTCTTATAAACTGGTATTATTAGATTATTTAATCCCATTCCTTTGCTGTTTTGAGGGTATTCCATGCATTTTTAATATTTGTCCTAACAATTCCTTTCCCTCGTCTTCCAGCCACTTTAATTTCTCTGTACATCCTTTCCAAATGCTTTCTAGTTCTAAATTTTTGTATTGCTAATGCAATTTCTTCATTTGATGTTTTTTTTATATATATATTTGTTCATTCCTATTTTTAATTACTTTTATTTCTGTTATTTTAGCTCCTTTCATTCTTTTTATTCTTGTCCAAAATTTTCTGTTGTAGACTTTATGAATTTCCTCCAAATTTATTCCAGGTTCTCCCTTGGCTTCTAAGACCACAGTTGTTCTTTGAGCACTATACTCTAAAATTATTTTTAACTACACAGGGTGCTCTGTTTTTAAGACGTTACACCTAGTACATTTGCACATATTTTGATTGGCCTCTTCTTAGGCTTTACAACCCCGGTTTATTTTTGAAATGTTTTTGCAAGCGGAATTTACAAAAAAAAATCACACCAGAGTTATTATACGCTGATTTTCTTCTTTCCACTTTTGATTCCGTAGTACTCAACTATGAGTTTATGATTCACTCCTATTTCTGTTTTCATTCTTGTGCGCATCTTTTAAAATGTATACAAGGTAGCAGGGAACAGATTTATTGAAATTCTGTAAACGCCGTTGTTTTTAGCTTGAAGGTGGAAGCTTAATTTACTACGTGATGTATGTATATTTTTTTACAAATTCTGTGATTTTAATTATTTTGTAAACAAATATTTATTTTTCACAAATTTTCAGTTTCGTCCCACAGTTGTCGCCCCTCTTACGACTACCCCCGAAAGCAGTGTCGCATTCCGCAGCCGCCCCCGCGCCTTAGCTTAGCCCCGATTTTCTCCGTAGAGTCCCCGAAATGATTTAATAGTGCTATAATTGCTTAGCTGTAGAGTGTGCATAATCGTAATTCACCCTCTTCTAGTCTAGCAGTGTTACAGATAAGCAAACAGCGCCTCGTCGCCTCACAGGGGTGGATATATGTTGGTAATAAAATCGGTTTTAGGCAACGTCTACGAGGATTGTAGGCGGTATCTGGTGGTTTTTTACTCTTATAATAATCTCGTCGTACACCGCAAATTTGGCCGCCTTCCTAACGGTGGAACGCATGATTACCCCCATTGAGAGCGCCCAGGACCTCGCCGACCAGACTGATATAGCGTACGGAACTCTCGAAGGAGGCAGCACTATGACGTTTTTTAGGGTGAGTCTGATTTTATTTAATCTTTTCGTAATCGCTGGCTCGTTACGGGGCGGACGGGTCAGGAGGCTTTCAGTGGGAAAAAATCATTTTTAGGAGAGAAAACGGGTCGGATGTGGTCGTGGTGGTTTAGTGGTAATACGACGGACACGAAAAAAATTGGTCGAGGGTTATTTCAACAGAACTTTCCTCGCATTTGAAGTAAAGCCCAATAAAGCTCGCATCTTTGAAAAGCTATAAAATTTGAATTTGCGATTTTTGTTTTTTATCTCTATAAAGTAAAAACCGGAAAATCGAAAATCGAAAAATTGAAACACAAAATGTTCAACATGGAGTCATAAACCACACGTACAGCAATTTCTTATTTTATAAAAAAAAATTGGTTTCCGTTTTACAAGCAGACAGACGGAAACGAGGGACCTATTTTTTCGTACTCTAGGTATCACGAAACCTCGAGAAAACATAAAAGTAGCTTACGCTCGCTTTATTAGTGGCTTTTGCTTCTCCGAATTTTATCAACTCCTCACCAAAATTCTAAGATCAAATAAAAACTAAGCGAGCGCCAGATAAACCCGCCCATAAACCATCCTTCACGAAGAATAACAATAACAATCCCAGACCTTTATTGCAGTTGCATTACGCCAAGAATGCGATTCCTCTCGCGTACGCGCTGCCATAAATCTCCCCCAGAGCCATAAATTTTATTGTTGAAAGGATAATACAACATTAATTATTTATAATGAAAAACATGGCAATAAACGCAGCCCGGCTCGATTTAAGAATGGAAATACGTTTTTTCGCGGACTGCCACAAATCCGATAAAGCTGGGAAATATGAGACGTGAATAGCAAGATGGCGATGCATCATCCGGTGCATCGACTTCATCCGCTTTGACAGAAAGAGTATTTTAGTTCTGGGGCGATCGCCGTGATAAGGCCGATTTGAGTGACGGGTGTGATATTACGTTTTTCGACGATCGACAGACTAAACTAATGAACCGATTGCTTTAAATTTGAAACCTCGTGCTTTGTGCGATAAATTTAACCAGCGGAAGATTTGATTTTTCAGCGGGAATTTGTTTCTCGTTTTATTTTGTTATCAGGCGCGAAATGGTCGCGTGAATATAAATCTCGGGCGTAAACGCACACAAGAGATAATAAAAGGCAATAAGTCAAATTTTATTCAGTTCGAGCGCTGTTACAGCTCCTCAAAAAAAAATAGAAAGTGAAAAATCGCACTGTCGATAAATCGCATTTTTCAATATGTTGTGGGTTCGAGGTTCATCAAAGGGGCGTAGTTTTCTCTTTTTTAATTAATTATCGAATTACGGTGGTTTTTAAACGTGCTTCGGCGAAACTGCGCAATTTATGGGTCGTAATTTCACCTATTTCCTTTAAGCAAGTATCTGCGATATTAACGGCTACATTATAACTAAAACGACTATTATTACGGAAGCTAAAGTACTAATAAAGGTGTAAGTAAATTTAATGGAAAGCCCGTAAATTATCATAATTCTGCGAGACTCGCTCGTTCCACTACATTTTTCCAAATTATTATTTAACAGTCCGACGTGCGGTGCTCTCGAAAATCCAGAAATGCTTTTAGAACTAATTACATTTAAAAATCGCCACCGTTAGACGCGTCGCGCTTGTTTTTGATTTTTTTAATTCGAATCGTGGTTTGCACTTTTATGGAAATGAAGAACTAAAACGTGACCAATTCTAAACTCCGGCGAACTCGATAGTGATCTAATATGGTACTCCAGGAGTCATTAAAGTGTGGTAAACACGAGCTTTAGCTAGGGGTGATAGTTAAAATAATAATCTTCGTGTATGGTATCGCCTGCCATTACCATAACTAACCTAATTACACGTTGTAACCAAATAATGTAGGTTTAAAAGTTTGTTGCTTTTGATGCAGCGAAACACCCGCAAAAATTAGAAGATATTACACTATTAATCTAAAAAAAAAACTCAAATCGCTTATTCCATTTCGCTTACAAAGTTATAAGCTATTCTAAAATATTTTAGTAAAGTTTCTAAAGAATCCAATTAATTTTCGAACTGTTAAAACCACATTGAAAAAGTGATTTGCATTCGTTATTATATATATGTAGTATAATTAAAGCAAAACAAGACATTGTTTGCAGAATATTGACGGTATTTAAAGCCCTTTTAACATGACAAAAAAATTATTGAATTATTACTGGCGATTTCCAGAATTTCGTTCCCGACGTTGCCGTTGCTTAGTTTTAAATTTAGTGATAATGAAGTTTAAAATATTTTGTTTTCAACTACAGAAATTTACTTTAATATATTCTGAGCTTTAACTAAAGTAAACGTTATGAAATCTAGTTACTCAACTATAACCACACAAAATTCACGATTTAAAACTTTGGGGACCTCCGAGAATTCTTAAAATACTTTCAAAAACAAAACACAAGATTAAAACGTTAGGGAACCTCAAGATTATTTTAAACTCATAGAAAAACAAAACCTTAGGAACCCCAAGATTGTTTATTTCAAACGGAAAACACTAAGGGACGCTAACATTCTTTTAAAGTGTCTTAAAAATAATGTATAAGGGACTTCCGATAATCCTTCAAATTCTTTCAAAAATAAAACACAATTGGTCTCCGAGATTTTTTAATTTCTTTCATTTTTTTTTCAAAAATAAAACACCCGGGAATCCTGACGGTCTCAAACACTTTCAAGATTAAACCACTAGAGGACACTTTCAAATTCTTTCAAGATTAAAACACTGGTGACCTTGACACACTTTCAAACTCTTTCAAGTTTAAAACATTAGAAGAGTCTGAGAGTCCTTCAAATCTTTTCAAGATTAAAACACTAGGGGACCCCAACAGTCTCCCAAACTCTTTCAAGATTAAAACACCAAGGAACCCTGACAGTTCTTCAAATGATTTCAAGATTAAAACACTCCGTGAGTCTGACACTCTTTTAAACCCTTTCAAGATTAAAACACTAAGGGACCTTGACAATCTTTGATACTCTTTCAAGAATAAAACACCAAGGAACGCTGACGCTCTTTCAAAAACTTTTAAGATTAAAACACTAGAGGGCCCTGACATTTTCAATCTCTTTCATGATTAAAACTTTAAGGGACTCAGACAATCTTTCAAGAATAAAACACCAGGAGACCCTGACACTTCTTCAAACCTTTCAAGATTAAAACTACGTGAGTCTGACGCTCTTTCAAACCCTTTCAAAATTAAAACAATAAGGGGACTCTAAGATTATTTTAAGCTCCTAAAAACAAAACACCACGAGCCCCCGAGATTCTTTAAATTACTTCAAAAGTAAAACACCAGAAAACCCTGACACTCTTTCAAACTCTTTCAGGATTACAACGCTAGAAGAGCTTAACAATCTTTCAAATATTTTCAAGATTAAAACACTAAGGGACTTAGATAAAATCTTTCATACTATTTCAAGAATAAAACACCAGGGGATCTTAACACATCTTCAAACGTTTTCAAGATTAAAACACTCCGTGAGTCTGATACTCTTTCAAACCCTTTCTAGAATAAAACAATAGAGGATCCCGAGTTTATTTTAAGCTGCCCGAAAAACAAAAAACTACAAACCCCCGAGACTTTTTAAATTACTTCAAAAGTAAAAAACCAGGGCACCCTGACACCCTTTCAAACCCTTTCAATATTAAAACACTGAGGGACCTTGACAATCTTTCATACTCTTTCAGTTTAAAACCTTAAAGGATCCTGAAAGATTAAGAGTCCCTGAAATTCTTTGAATTACTTCAAATATAAAACACCCGGGAACCCTGATATTCTTTTAAACTGTCTTAAAGATAATACATAAGGGGCTTCCGAGAATTCTTCAAATTCTTTCAAAAATAAAACACAATAATTGGCCCCCGAGATGTTTTCAGTTTTTTCTATTTTTTTCAAAAATTAAACACTACGGAACCCTAACACTTATTCAAACGCTTTCAAGTTTAAAAAACTAGGGAATCTTGATACTCTTTCAAACCCATTCAGAATCAAAACACTAAGCGACCCAGAGATTATTTTAAGTACTTAAATAGTAAAACAAACATTAACATCCCCTCGAAATCCCTTAAATTACTTCAAAAGTTAAACACTAGGGGACCCTAATATTCTTTCAAACTGTCTTAAATACAATTGTTTTTTTCAATTTTTTTCTGACTTGACTCGATTTGACCTGGCCTGGCCTAGCCTAATTTAATTCAAACAAACCTGGCCTGACTGAACTAGTGTGACCTGACCTGACACTCTTGGATTTTGGCACATTGAACAGTATACTTATAAACAAGATTAACAGTAACGTCATGTTTTCAGTTTGCCGCCTGAGATAGAGTTTAAAATTTAAGATGTAAAATTACTAGTAGTTAATGTTGGGTAAATATTTGCAGGACTCTAAGATCGGCATCTACCAGAAAATGTGGCGTTTCATGGAGAGCCGCAAGCCGCCCGTCTTCGTCAAGACGTACGAGGAAGGCGTCCAGCGCGTCCTCGAAGGAAATTACGCGTTCCTAATGGAATCTACGATGTTGGACTACGCCGTTCAAAGAGACTGCAATTTAACGCAAATTGGAGGACTGCTCGACTCAAAGGGCTACGGGATAGCGACGCCAAAGGGCAGCCCGTGGAGAGACAAAATATCGCTCGCCATCCTCGAGCTCCAGGAGAAGGGGGTGATCCAGATACTCTACGACAAGTGGTGGAAAAATACCGGGGACGTCTGTAATCGAGATGATAAAAGCAAAGAATCCAAAGCCAACGCCCTCGGCGTCGAAAATATTGGTGAGTTTTGAAAAAATATCCCCAGATATGGACGCTCGATCGAGATATTTGCTTTACATCTTTTCTGTGTCGCGGGTTTTTGCGACGGATTCGGGACGTCAAGGTTTTTCCGAGGCACTTTACTTTATTGGCGGCTTTTTGCCACGTCGATAACAGATTACATTAACATATTGTCCGTAATTTAAAAAAAGAAGTCGCTGTTCTTATATACACACGGAGTAAATTCGGTCACTATTCCGGAGTGGGTACGTGAGACCGATTTGGCGCAGAATCGATGCGGACATTTTTCAGCACATCTCCGGGGCGCCGAACGGAAAATTCGAGCGAAATGGAAAAAATAAATATTCGAAGGGAAATTCATCAAGTGCTTTGCTTTTTATTCTTTCGACTAAAGAAATGGGAAATTAAATTATTATTCCGGGAGTTTCCGGAGAAAAAATACAGGTATTCGAGTTTATCATCATTATTCGGAGGAAATAATTTACTGTTATCTTGAACACTCTTCGCTGCTGCTGCTGCGACTCGACTACGTGCAGGCTTAAGCACTTTTTTAATTAATGTTTTTAATCGCGGAGATGCAGTTTTAACTGCAGCAAAAAAGCGATTCTGACATGAAAGGGGAACAGAGATGGATGTTGTTAAGCTGAATATTCCGAAGAGGAGCTTAGAGGGATTAAAAATTAACTGCTTTATTCAGATATTCGCAATGAGTGGATGAAGCACTTAGGGATCCGAAATGTTGAAGCGCAATTTTTTTTAAAGGACGACTGCCGTTTCAGCCAGCATTCACGTAATTTGTTTAAAAGTAGGATCTTATCAAATTCTCAACTCCTATTTTGAAGTCGTCAAAAAATCCACAATCCTCTTACCCTAATGACAACAGAAGCGAACTTTGTTTTCAATGCCACTAACTTTCTTTTATTACTCTGAAATCTGTGTATTGAGGAGGTTCGACAAGAGTTTCACTGCCTCTAAATGACGTACGCCCTGCCGTAATGACCCTCTCTTTTGGTGTCATCAAAGCGAACCAAAATTAAAACCTAATTAACCCGTCATTATCGCATTAGTTGCGTACGTAATACGTCAATCTGCTCCGGGTTAACCAGAAGCTCTGAAATAGCCATCCTATCATAGTCTAAGTAATGGAATCGCTATTTTGCGATATTTAATGAACGAAAATTGTTTTTCTGCACAAAGAGTTGGTGCTGAAACCGAGACGTTAACTTCACTCATACTTACATGAGGTTTCAAGAAAATGTTCAGTGTTCAGTTGCTTTTATTGAAACATCAAAAGCAGTCGGCGCCTCTTGACGGAAAAATAAAACATTTTCGTTTTCTCTGTGAAGAATTAACAACCAAAGATACTTCTCCAGTCACAATATATTTCCAGCATGTTTTTAGTGTCACTTCGTTCACTTCACGAATATTGAAGTTGATGGCGTGACCATTTAAAATGTCAGACTCGATTCTCATTTAAAAATATCAACCAATTTTTGTTAATATGTGATGCTAATATATCTTTGTTTCATTTCTTTCAATCATTTTAACAAAGAAATATTCTGGAGCATGAATTTCTAAAAGCTTTTCGTTTCATTTTCGTAATTTTTCTATTCTTTATTTTTACAGTTATGCTATTTCATAACATTTAAAACTCATTTGCTGGGTACGATTTTGAGGTGACGTCATCACACATTTGGTGGTAATGATTAAACAAAGTTTAGTTAACTAACGCTCAGGAAGTAAAGATAAAAAGGCGAATTCAGGAACTGTAATATTCAACGAATCCTTAAAACATTCTTGCAGGAGGTGTGTTCGTGGTGCTGCTCTGCGGCCTCGCGTTGGCAATTCTGGTTGCCATCCTCGAGTTCTGCTGGAACAGCAAGAAAAATGCTCAAACCGATCGTCAATCTTTGTGTTCGGAGATGGCGGAGGAGCTGAGATTCGCCGTTCGTTGTCACGGCTCCAGACAGAGACCCGCTCTGAGGAGGTCGTGCACGAGGTGCAGTCCCGCCACCACCTACGTCCCGGCGGCGCTGGACCTGCCCCACATCAACGGGGTAAGTAGCAATTAACCCAAAAAAAAACCGTACCTACCCGAATTTGCTTTTATGGGGCGATCTTGCGATGAAAAATCGGAATCGATCCGAGCCCTCTCCAAGTAATTTCTGACTTCGTTCTAGATTAATTGGACGACTTAATGGGAACGAAGTCCCGACTAAGAAAATTTTTAATTCGGAAAGCTCCTGGATCTGTCATGTCTGAAAATGAGCAAGTTTTTTAAAACCTTATTAAAATTCAGGATGCAATATATTCTTTAATGAAGCGTCTAATGGTCTCCGCTTTTAAAAAGCAGTTTGATGAATTTCTAATTATGGGAATACCTCCTCCTTTCTCACTCGAGTGGATTACTCAAACATTATTTATGCTCGCAGCTTGCGAATCTCTTTTATTAATCCCACGTTTTGTGCTCGTATAAACACGTCCCTTTGAACGAAACTAGCGCCAGTTAAAAGCAATCCCTCTTCTGGATTCCAATTATGAGTTAAGTCGGTAAAAGTAAACTGCAATACCGTTGAGAAATCTCGAAGAGAGACTCTAGACAGAGCATCGTTTTCTATGCAGTCGCTCCCCGGAGAAACTTTTTTTTTGAGGGTGAAGTTGGTACGACTCACTCAGTGACAGCTTATTGATTCAGAAGCCACTAGGTGCACGTCTGCTTGTAAAGATATCTGAGACACACGCGGATGATTTATGTAGGCGGGATGTTTTCTAATAAAAAAGTTTAGGTATAATTAATGGCGCTGTCAAAATAGTTTTGGAAAAATTAATTATTTTACAAGCGCTCCAAACATATAGACACATAATAGTGTTGAGAGAGTCGATTTACGATCGAATCGATAGCGGTGCAAAAAGTGCGGCCTGGGATAATGTAAGGGAGAATGGGACGCAATGGGAGAGAACGAAACAAATTCGGATGGGTTGAACCGTGCGAGAAAAAAGTGAATAATTTCCATCCAGCGAATCCATTCTTGTTTAGGTTTTACGTCAATGTAATTTATGGCTCGGATGGCTTTATTTTTAAGACATGACACCGATTTTTTGCCTTTGATATATCGGAGCGTTATTTATCGCTTCGTTTGGGGCGGCGAGATCAGATACCCCGACCGGAACGATAACGTTTTCAATTTTTCCCAACCCTCGCCGACGATAAATAAATAAATTAATAAATATTCTGTGTGATGGGTTCTGGTTAATTTCTTTCAAGATTCCCGCTGCCTCATTTCCATCTCCATTTTTCCACAAAACTTGAACCAATTGGCCCGAAAGCGGCCCGAGTAGTGATCTGGCGTTGTCCCCAGGAGAGCGTCATCATGCCCATGATGGAGCTAAAGAAGTCGCCCGTCACCTACGACGTGGACACTTAGCGGCGACTCTTCGCTGGGGGCACCTCCACGTTCGCGTGCACCTCCAGCGCCATCCGGGACTGCTGCGGCGGGCCGTCGAACTCGCGGCCGCAGCGCGCCGCCACCCTCAACTACCGGGCCACCCCCCAGTGCCCGGACCTGGCGAAGAAGAGCGCCAGCTTGGGCCGCAACGCGGCCTTCTGCCGCGACGCCTGCGACGTCGTTCAGAGCGGCCTACACAAGCACAACGACGTCCCCGATAAGATACTGTGGAAGTTCGATTGTGATATCGGTAGTCCGAACAACCCGGACGTAGTGACGAGGACACTGCCGGACGCTGTTGTAAGTAGGACCACCACCTTGTGATACATAGGTAGAATTTGTAAATTAAATCAAATCAATGGACTGATGTTTGTACCAATTTGAAATAAATTTATTAGGGTTTTTTATTGAGGTTTGGGGGTCGAACGGGGTTTTGGTTCAAGCTGGAGACTGGCAGGAAAGGTGGAGTTTCACGACTAAGTATAAACCGGTCAGGATGGTTTTACACAAAAGTGAGCCATGAAATTTTTTCTTCACGTTGGATGATAAACTGATTCATTGACAAGCTCAAGCGTACAGAGCTAATGATGAGTAAAGAGCGAATTTTAGGCTAAAAAAAAAAGCTTAAAAAAAGGCATCTAAGCCCGAAAAATGGCAAAATAGGTGCTTTAGGCGAGTTTTCGGAAGAATAAATTTTATGCAACGTCTGGTTCTCCTTGAGATCTACCTTTACTTTTTTATGTTACATAATCACGTGTTTTTTTTTAATTATCGACAGAAAAATTTTTCCGTTTGTCTGTTAGGATATTTTTATACCTAGAGAAGGATCTTTCAACATCACACGATGTTAAAATTTGAAATTTCAGTGAGTTTCATTTGTAAATCTTTTTCTATATTTTCGCCTTGTAATACTTTGCTGACAAGTTGGTATATTCCAATCGTTTATACAATTGCTCTACTATATCCACAGACTGATTTAAGGTCCGCCTAATGGTCTCTGATCAAGTATAACTTGTTTTTAAGATGGTAAAATGAGTTTTTATATAAGCCAAATTATGTTTGAGATGCTTTTGTTGGAAACAGTATTGAGCATCGCTGTGGAGTCAAATCCCACAATAATCTAAAATGTTTCATTTAATGTAGAATTACACAACAAAATTATGAATAGCAATAAACGAACCTTTTTTTATACCCTCAAAATGATCCCAATAGTACATTGTCGCTTCAATCCATGAACCCCCTCTTGTCAGAACAGGTTCTCGAGGCAATGGATAATCCAGTAAAGCTTCCCGGAAGGCTACTCTACGATACTCAGAAATTATGTTTTTTATTTCTTGTAGACAAATAAGCAGTGTGCAATTAATATCCGCCCCCTTGGCTCACGACGAATAAAGAAATCATCAGAATTGCGATAGGGTGGGTGGGCGGGGCTTATATTTTGCCTTTTTTTTCTTAATATACATAGCCATCTTTTCACTACAAGAAATTTGAAGCATGGTTAAAATGGTGCCTTTTTTGCAAGGAAATTATGGGGCGAAGTCTAATTACAAAATCGATATTTCCTTATACAAATTTACCATTTTAGACATATTTTAAGTTTCTTATTGTCGAAATAAGTCTACACATATTACGAAGAACGGCAAAATGTAGCCCCGCCCACCCGCCCTATCTCTATTGTGATAATTTATCTTTATTCGTTGTGAGCCAAAGGGGCGGAGCTTAACTGCAAAATCCTTATTGCGGGGCTTCACTTTGCCTTTTTTTAATATACATAGCCATCTTTTCACAACAAGAAATTTAGAACATGGTCAAAATGGTACATTTTTGTAAGGAAATATGGATTTTGCAATTATGGGACGGAGCCTTATTGCAAAATGGATGTTTGCCTATACAAATTTTCCATTTTAAACATGTTTTAAGTTTCATGTCGGGAAAAGAAGTCTACTCATATTCAAACAAAAAGGCAAAATGTAAGCCCGCCCACCCACCCTGCCTCAAGTGTGATGATTTCTTTTTATTTGTCGTGAGCCAAGAAGGCTGAGCTTAACTGCAAAATACTTGTTTCCGTACAAGGAATTAAAAACATGTTTTTGAGTATCGTGTTCTTCAAAGAATACTATGTCATACTAAGAAAAAAAGGCAAAATGTAAACCCCGCCCACCCACCCCATCTCAATTGTAATTATTTTGTTATACTTAGAAACTTAAAATGCATTTAAATTGGAAAATGTTTGTAACGAAATATGGATTTTCACATTAGGCTCCGCCTCTCGGTCTAAGAACGGATGAAAACTTCACTACTATTTAGATCAGAGCAGGTATGGGTGGAGCTTAATCTTTTGCTCTAATTTTTTCTTAATATATCTACATGGTATTTTTTTAATAACACGATACTGAAAAACATGTCGTATGTGGTGATTTCTTGTAGAGAAATAATAAGAATGTTGCATTTAAATTCCGCCCCTTTGGCTCTCGACGATAAAAAAAAATCATCACAATTGAGACAGGGTGGGTGGGCGGGGCTTATATTTTACTTTTTTTCTTAATATACGTAGTAGTCGTCTTTTCAGAACAAAAAACTTAAAATAGTTTAAAATGGTACATTCTTGTAGACAAATATGGATTTTGCAATTAAGCCCCACCCCTCGATTTGACAACGAATGAAGAACTAATTGAGAATTGGCAGGGCTGGTATGGGTGGAGTCTAATCTTTAGCTTTATTTTTTCTTTATGTACATAGCATTCTCTAAACAACACGATACTCAAAAACGTGTTTTTAATTTCTCATATAGAAATAAGGATTTTGCAGTTAAGCTCCGCCCTCTTGGCTCACGACGAATAAAAAAATAATCACAATTGAGATAGGGTGGGTGGGTGGGGCGACATTTTGCCTTCTTTTCTTAATATGTGTAGACTTATTTCGACAGTAAGAAACTTAAAACATGTCTAAAGTATAATGCGAATTAATGGAATTAATTTCACAACTAGTTGAATTGTACAACATTAACATTTATACTTACAATTTTCCCACAGGCTTTACAGAACAATTCGCCGTTTCCCGTTTGAAAAACGTATTTGTTTTTCGTCCATTCCTTTAAATTGTCTTTAACAACGATTTAACTTTGAATATTTTTAAAAATGGCAACAAATACTAGATGATAAACAATTTTTAAAACACTCTACATCTTAGCAGGAACTAGCCCCGCCCACCCACCCTCTCGTTTCTTGCTAGCCCCGTTTTATTATTTTTTTTATTTATTTATTAATGAAAACTAACAGCTTGTTTTATTAATAATAATGCACAACGTTATTGACTACTGGTTGTTATGTTTATTGTCCTAAAAAAATACTTTTATAAAATTACGGTTTTTTTTTCATAATCTACATCATAAAGAATTTTCTAGTTATTTTTTTGGGATTCGCGAAACCTCCGTACATAACGTATTGAAAAGTTAATCCGCCCTTTTCCAGACACCCGGTATACAACTTTCATACATTTGCCTACAACCAAGATGAAAAAGCATTTGCCCTAGAATCCGCTCTTTAATTTGATGACTACATTTCCATGGTCTACCTTTGTCTAGAATCACCCTGAACGACATACCGGGTGTCCCAACGCACCTGTTCCACTCAAATATCTCAATTATTTTAATACAAAAAACTGAAATTTGGCATGTTCAATATACGTAACACAGTCTATTTAACAGATAGATGACTGGCGTCGTATTAGTTTCAGTTTTGCCGAAAATGACATCAACTTTCTTGTTTTTTGTACAAAACGGTATAACTTTTCAATACATTAAATAGTGCCCTTTTTTGTCTTTTAAACGATATATCACATGATAAGATGTTATTTACTTGAATGTAGAAGTTGATGTCGTTTCCGGTGAAACTAAAGCTAATACGATGGCACCAGTCTACTCACATAATAGATTCTGTCACATACATTGTACTCAGTTCAGATTTTTATGTTTAAAATAATTGAGACATTTGAATGGAACAGGACGCTAGAACACTCGGTGTAGTAAATATTAAAACTGTTTTAAAATTGCAACTACCAAATAAAATTGTGAAAAATATTTCAGGTCAACGGATAAACACTAAAAATAAATTTATAATAAAGCGCTGGCAGTGCTAATACAATTCAATTAGTTTATTTTGAAAATTTTCAATGACTGCCTAAAACACGAAAACATTTTCACCGTATGCTATTGTTCTCACAAATATTTTTAATCATCGCATTTATTTGAAATATTTTTCCGGTCAGTGCAGTCCAACAAATAAACCGAAAACAAAAATTTTCCTGAACCCGTCTTTTAATTTTTTATGACCCTGCACGGAATTAAAACTTCTTCTTTAACCCCCGCCGAGCGCCGTCAGCGACCACTCGCCCATACGCCACAAAACATTTTTGCCAACTTTTCAATTAAAAACCAAATCAGCGTCATCCCCAATATTTTCGCAATTATCCTCGCGAAACTTTTAAGCCCCAAATAAACCCGCCACCACAAAAACTAATCTACACCGGCGACAGCATGATTTGCTTGCTCCCTCGCCGCCCCCATCTTCGCAACACAGGTCACGTCTAACCAAATTCGGCGGTGTTCGGCACCGAAGTAAATGGTCTATAAAGATTTTTTGGCAAAGCTTTAATTTTTTATGTGTCATCTATTCTTAAAAGTTCACACTAAGTTACAAATTGTCCGCCCATAAAATATGATAAAGGCCTTTTTATGCTATATTTGAAAGGTCGGGGGCGGCGCCGATAAGGAGGGGCGGTTGGAGGGTGCATCTTGGTACTCGCCGAAAAACGTGCGGGATTTTCGCAAGTTCGGATAGGAAGGAGTAAATATTTTATTAACTGATTTATTTTATAGTATGGTGGCTCCGGTTAGTCCGGTAATTAATTACAGCGACTGAAGTTAAGCCTCCTAAATTATGGACAAAGTAAGATATTATTTCCACTGATTCGGCCGAAGCTCGGTCTATATTTAAAATCCTGGCAGGATTTATCGCCTGAACTTTACT